CCGCTCTTATACACACACACACACACACACACACACACACACACATATGTATATATATATATATATATATGTTGGTGTATATGATATTCTCTAAAAAGTCAAGGGCATGGGACATGGCTGCTGTGCGCTTAACGAGAGGAAGGTAGGTTTCTGCTGTATCGTTTGGAGTCCACACGAAGGGTTCAGGATCTGCTAGACAGACAGTGGAAGGTTATACAAGGGTTACAGAGCATCTCCAGTTCATTTCAGTCAAGCATGTTGGGAGAAAGAACGTGTGGGAGCTGCCACCAAACACTTATTGAGCTTCACAATACTGCAATTCTCCCTATTCAGAAAGAAGGGAACGAGAGCCAAAAAGTGTGAAGAACACTACTGGAGCTAACACGACACCTAAATTTGTTTTGTGACGTTTAATCACAGAAACTCTGACCTCATGACAGACGCTCTGGGTGGAGTTTCCTGTTATGAAAGTTGACTTTTATTGTGTTTTTTTTATATAATAATAGTATTGAAGTGACACACTGTTCTCCCTCCCAACAGTACTCCAGATGAAATAGGATGTGGGAATGCAAAGGGGTAAAATTTCAAAATAAAGGCCCCATGTAGAAACACACCGTTGGGTAGAAGTGCTGATCAGGTTTTTAGTCTCCAGTCCTCACAAGGCTCTAATTCTACATCAGCACTCTTACTTTGGGACGCGTCATATACACTTGCTCATTCTTTGGTACAATTCAGCTCATTTATCACAGAGCTAAACATCCAATTCAAACTATGCAGCTCCACATGAATGGAAACATTAATGACAAGAGCATGGGGAGGGTCGATCCAAGAATTTGCGGATAACATTTCTAGTTCCTTTTTTTAAGTCAAGGCATCACCAATGTGATTCTTCCCCATTTATCTACAGGTTTGAGTACTGTAAAGTGTGCGCGTGTACACGAGGAAGAAAGCGTGTGGGAAACAGAGACGAGCAGAATGTGAGAGTGGATTCGGAGGGATGTGTGTGGACTTCAGACCTCTACATCATACCCAGCTGCATCAGAGAGTTGGCGTATGCCATCGGCTTGACATTTGGATGAGGCTGAGGAGAGGGAAAAACAAAAGACATCAGTTTACAGACTGCGTTTATCACAGGAACACATACCTAATCAGTAATTAACTGACTTTTTTTAAAAAAATTTTTTATTATTACATAAATGAAATTAAAAGGGTTTTTGCAGGTTTCATGAAGGTAAATTGTCTTGTTTTCGGTTAAATTAATCAAAATGAAGTGAGTTTATGAAAAAAAAATTAAAAAAAAGAACAAATATCCACCAATGGACTTTTCATAATCTTAATTTTGCATCTCAAGTAAATGTAATTTAAGGATGCTTAAATATTTGTTTCGAAAAACAAGACTGAAGAAGATATTAATTTTTAATCCCACGATTTTATGAATTTTAAAATTGATGGATTTTAAAGACCTTTGTGAGACCTGCAGAAACCCTAAATAATATTTAAATAATTGTACAGTGATCGCAATAAATGAGATATATATATATATATATATGACATTTTCAGACAAACAATTTTTCAACAACAAATGTTGTTGTATTCCAACCAAAAGTCATGTGATGAAAATGAACAGATATTGTTATTGTCGATGTCAAAATCTCAAAGGAGGTCGATATGAAGCCGATAAATGCAACATCACACTATTTAATTTAAAACAGTGCAGTCATTTTTATAAAAAAAAAAATAATAATTTGTAAAAACATATGTATAACAATTGTTATAACTAGTGGTCAACCGATATGGGTTTTTTGACAGCCGATGCCGATATCTTGGAAAGCAGGGTGGCCGATGGCCGAGATAATTTAATTTATTTTCATTTATATTTAAGAAATTTGAAATCATTTGAAAATGGATTAAAATAATTGTGTAAAATAAACATTTATACTGTAGAAGACAAAGCATTTTCCACAAATAAATAAATATTTAATAAAAATCTAATAGATTATTTTATCATATTTTTTCAAATAAAGCCAAGGTAACACTCATTTTACATACAGCATACAATGAAAATGACATGAATATGACAGTGGGCAAATGCAGAAAGCGCAGCATAATTTGAATTCACTAGTTTAAAGTTTGTAGATCGCGCGTCTCCAGTGAAGCTGAACTCTCCTCCTGTCAGCATTCAATTCACACGGACCGAAAGCCACACAGAGAACATATGCATAAGAACACGCGATCGTGCAGGATACACATGCACACTTCACAAGATCTCACAGCTGGATTCGACTAAGTGTGCAAGGTTTGTGAAATTAAATGTTCATTAGTCATTCAAAGATTTGTTTAAATTATATAAATGCGTATTTGCTGAATGCTGATGGCAAATGAGAAAGTATTATAATAGTATTAGTATAAAGTATTACTAATAATATTAAAGCAATCATTATTATACTTTTTTGTATACATTTTAATTCCTTTGTTTAACAGTTCTATCTGATTATTAGATAGACTTCTATTCGTATTAGACAGAACTGAACGACGACAGCGAACAAGAGGGAGAATGTGAGCGGTGTGCGCTCTCAGGCGCTGCCGTTCTCGCGCCGTCAAAATAAAAGTCCCGCCTCGAACACATCGGCCAAACAGAAAAACTTATCAGCCGATGCCGATATTTGAAAAATGGCAAATATCGGCCGATATATCGGTCGACCACTAGTTATAACTATATTTATATTTTTATTATAATTATAATAATAATTACTGTTAGAAATTATTTAAAAGAATTAAATATGAAAAAAAAAATTGAATTATGAAAAAAAAATAACTTCTTGATTCTGTAATCCGATTATACTATTTTTCACAAAAACAGCAAAGTCTCATGTCTGCATCCAATTCGCATGGACCATCATGCACACTTGTTTTCATGCAGTCTACAAGTGCACACTAGATTTGACAAAGTTTGCAAGGTTTGTGAAATTAAACATTTATTCGATATTCAAAGACTTGTTTAAATGCTATTTAAATGATGTGCATTTGCTGAACGCTGAGGGTAGTTGAGAAAGTGTTACAGCATTTGGTTTTCAAGAAAAGCAAATGCTATAATACTTTTTCATTTACTGATTACTTTCTTTGTTTACTCTCTAATCTATAACTAAAACTGTTCAACAGAGACAGTAAACTAATGAAGATGAAGAACAGGAGACGCTGACGTTCACAGCACAGTCAAAACAAAAGTCATGCTTCGGCCAAACAGAAAAACTTATCAGCCAATGCAATAATGAAAATATGCCACATATGGGCTGATATATCAGTGATGAATGTTCACCCCTAAAAATGAGTGAATGTAAATGTAAATAAAATGCATAAAAAAGAAACTCCACTGACCACAGCAGTAAACTGGTGGAACTCTGGCTTGAGGTCGGATCCCCTGAGATGAATGTAAGCTCCTTTATTTCCCATCTGGTCACTAAAAACAAAACAGAAGCACACAGAAAAGAAAGAGTCGTGAATATGCACATATATCCAGACACATGACCACAACATGTTCTAACACACAGTTTATTTTCAATAAGACTGCATTAAATCATACATTTTCCATCGTTTGTAACTGATAATTCAAAAAGTCGTTGGTTTTAAATTGACTAAATGTGGCACATTACATCAGCTCTTTGTACCATATTCTTAGCGAACCACATAACGTGGACCAAAATTACGCTGATCGCCATTAGACGATCATTTAGTAATCAGGCTTAGGCTTAATGCAGTGCTAATCAGGCTTACGCAGAATATAATTTTCTTTTTTGGGGGTACAATACGACCAGGACATGTTCTTGACACCCAGATGTTTTTATGGCTCTTGCTTAATTGGAAGCTCATTCATTAATACAAATCTCATGATGCACTGATAAGGACAGCGAGAGGTTTCCGTACCAGTAGTTTGGCGCGGAGAACACGGTGATGCACTTCCCTGAGTGAGTGTCCTCGTAACCCTCGGCTTTCACCTCATGACTGCGCACTATGTACTGCAGCTTGTTCTGTTCCAGGAAGCGCTCCGTAACGTCAGGCCCAAACTGACAGCTCACACCCCGCTTGCTGATGGACCGTCCGTCCTGGAGGAGAACACACATCGCTCAAACACAGCTGTGACCGAAACCCTTCACTTAGCAGAAGGAGGGGAACAGAACTGACCTGCGGCTGAGGATCTGACCACAGGAGATCGCACATTGGACCTGCGCGAGAAAGATACAAAATACAACTTGAGTTCTACATTGTCCAATGAAAATGTAAGTGGTGCAACACTTCATAACACAATGCTAGAGCATGGTGTGTGGTTGGCAGGGCTTTCTGAGAATAACTTGGGGGCCTTTTACACGACAACGCTTTCAGCCAAAAACGGGAAACTTTTTATGCGTTTTGTCTGTTCGTTTACACGACAACGGCGTTTTGGGGACTGAAAACGCATAATTTTGAAAACGGGTTTCAAAGTGGAAGTTTTTGAAAACGCCACCGTTGTCGTTTCCGTGTAAACACCGAATACCGAGGATCTTTGAAAACGGTGACGTCAGGCGCGTGCGTAGTACGTGTTAGGTATGTAGACTAGACTTGTGCCGGTATTCGGTAATGCGATATATCACGGTAATTAATATGCATGATATTGTTATCGTGGGCACTTCTAAATACCTTGAATAATTATATATTACAAATTATTCAGAATTTTTAATGCATTTTAAGAATACTTTTCCCATCAACTGGTCAAAATGCACAACACCGCTCGCTGTATGCTGCGTGAAAGACGCGTGCACACTCTGATGTAAACAAGCGCGGACGAGAAGCACATGGCGGAACACGTGAGAGACGCTCTGGATGAAAGCGCACTTTC